GATAGTATTATTGATTTTGTTAATGTTAGGAAAAGGGAGTGTGTCCTTGGGAAACTGCTTAAGATCTGACTGCAAAGTGCAAAATGCCATTTTAGTTTCCTTTCATCCATTCACTCAAAAGAGGGTTGCATGTGAGCAAAGATAACTCATTAGTAGTCATTGTTGTAGGGAACACAGTCTCTTTCAGATAATGAGACGTTTCATAAAGTATTTTTTTTTATAGATTAAGTATGACTTCTTAATTTTACTACTTTTACATATTTTTTTCATTTTTCTCAATTTGGCAGGAATATTGGGAAAAGCACTGCTTTAGGTATACATGTCCAGTCTATTTGGAGTGTCCATCTGAAGGTAAAGGGGAAATTAAAAGGGATGGACAGTTCAAAATCATAACAGCCTCTTGAATCCCAGTAGAATACAGCCACAATAGCAAAAGTGTTATGGAGTATTTTTTTAAAAAAACGAACAACAAAAACTCTAAACACAGTAGGATATAAAACAAAACAGATTGTTACAGACTTCAAGCTACTAGAATGGATTTTTTTTTTTTTTTTTTTTTTTTTACTGAAAACTAGCTTCCAAAATGTTGATTTTCAAAGCTTACTTGAGCAAGTAGCTTTATGTTTCATCCTAGAGCATAGTCACTAAAGCCTTAAAGGATGGCAACTCCATGAGGCTTTCCCTTTCTACTTCTGCGCATTCAATTCTCTGAAAAACTCCCATCCACATCTTCTATTTTGTCGAAGGTAACAACCACATTTAAAACTGCAAGCTTTACATTTTTTCAAATCTTCAGGTACACTAAAAACATTCCATGGCTTGTGTCTATAACCCAAATATTCCTAACACCCTCAAGCTATCTGATTTAGATAGAGAGGTTTGGCTTTTTGTTTGTGAGGGTTTTTTTAAAAGGAAAAAACTTAATAATTGTTCTAAACCCATATGAAATATATTTGGACAAGCTTTATTATAGTTAAATGAACTGTCATGTAGCAGTCTATGATGCTGCATGATTGGAACATGACTATTTGTATCATTAATACACCCACTGTTAGACAATTGCAACAAATCTTGAATAAACTATCATGTAAGGTATCAATGAAAAAGTTATGGGTTTCTGAGTGTAATTAAATCGATGTATCATTTTTATCTGACATTATGAACATTGGCTATATAGACCTGTATTTCAAACTTGTTTGTTCTTGGGATAACAACCCAGAAGGTAATTTATAAACAGTCTGGCTAGCACATTATGAATGTACAGTACTATTTAAATTGAGAGCACATGGAGGAACATTTCAATCTCACAAAAGACCAGGGTGGATAAAAATCAATTTTTTTTTACAACTCAACAATAAAATAACCACATTTCTCATTTAAAAATAACAGTTACATTTAAATCTCATCACAAACATGCTACACCTACATTTATTGTCTCATAAAAATGAATTAAAGACTCATCTATCCAGCCTAGCTACTAGCTCTTGCTTCCTGAAAGTTCTAGGCTTTCAATTTGTTTTACACCAGACTAAAAAGTAACATGTACAAAGAAAAACACAAGCTGAATAGGATTGTTTTTGTTGTGTGCTTACGTGGTGATGGACCTTGGCCAAGCATGATGGAGAACTTAGTTAAGACAATATCTTAAAGACAGAGAGACTATATATATAGGAAAGGACAGAGGCACCATAGAAAGTAACAGAGTGGACTGGAAAGAAAAAGGGAAAACATTATTCAGCGCACACACAACTTCTAATATTGGAAAAACTGTCATGGCTTGTAAGTATAAGAAAGACCCTAATTGGGAATATTTTGAATACATTTGTTCCCTGGGCAAAAAAAGAAAACGTATCAAGCATAAGCAGTGCAAGAAGAGGATGTAAGGCTTAGTTACAAGAATGAAACATCATAAAGAAAGCTGCTTATTGGGAGAAAATGATGTGGATATGGCTGAGTGGATAAACTGGTTAGTAACTTAAATAATTCACTTTGCAATGAAGCCTTCTTCAAGACTCTCTCTATGCCTTTTAGTATTCATGTGATTTGGCCAGTAAGTTTTCCTTCGCTCCCTAACAGAGACCAGCAAACATCCCTGTATCAGCTCCTTTCACGTGCTTGGTGATTATCTTTTTTCTCTTTGGTTTTATGAGAAGCAATCCCATTCTAGGCACATCCCATTTTCCTGGTACATCCAAACTCTTACCCCTCTCTTTAAGTTCTGAGCAGAGGAAGCTGTACGCTGAATTTGGTGGTCCTAGCTCTTACATCTTAGAAGCTCTTGAACAGATACACAAATAGACAAACTCTCTAAAATATAGAAGAGACTAAAGGACAACCAACAGCATGATTTTTGGGTAAGATCCATGTTATATACTGACCTGGCTAGATGGATTAGAACAGGGGTTTTTAAGTTGGAGCTGCAAGGTTCTTTGCCTATGAGCACATAGATAAAGCAACTCGCAGTCCGCCAGTGGCTTATCTGGGTGGGTCCACAACCCAACTTTGAAAACTCCTGGATTAGAAGGACCCTGTTTTTAATTAAATTGGCTTTAAATAAGCAAGTATCATAAAGTCTAGTGTCCGGGAGGTGAAATTAGTCTTGGAATACTTAAGGTGACTGAATTTCTGACTTCTTGCTAATCAGTGTGGTGACACAGAAGTTTACTTTTGTTACTGGATGGTATATCTAATATAAGAATAACCACGAGTTTGGGGTGAGTCTATCCTATTTCTCAACAATGCCATTGAGGCATTCTGACATTTTTTTGTTTTCCCAAAAGTTACTTGGGTGCTGCTATACCACTAAAGCTAAAGCATTATTCCACTGCTCAAGTCACATTTATCATACCTAAAGCTATGATTATGGAATGGCCTCTGTGATATTTTCTGCCGTTGGGCTAGAGCACCCAGGCAGGCCCTGCCCCTGCAACTCCTAAACCCTTTCCTGATGGAACAACATCAGGGGCTGGTGGACCCTATACCAGTTCAGCTGCTGAGAGAGACTGGGCCTCTGCAGCTGCCCCAGAGGCTAGGGTACCTCACAGCAGTCCAGCAACATGAGCAGGGAAATCCTTGAGCTCCCATGCACTGCAGTGTTGGGAAACCCAGGAGCAGCAGTGGGTGCTGAACTTTTTGTCAGGGATATTTATAATGAGAGCCACAGATCACAGCCTTACGTGAATTTTATTTCTTGTCCATGACCTGTCTCCATGAGTTTTAGTAAAGATATCCATTGTTGCAGATGAAATAAATTGGAGCACTGCCACAAGACAGACACATATATTAATACATGATCAATATATAGGTTAAAACATATGTTAACATAAATCAATAGGCAGACCCAGAACATGCAGCACCTAAAAGTAAAGTGTGAAAATTAGAGGTAAGAGCAAAAATAATTGATGCTCACCTGGAGTAGTATTGAAGTCTAAGATGCGGTGATGTGACTGTAATAAATCTGGATTACTGGATGACAGTGTTCCACTGACAGGTAAAGCAGGAGGAATGTGTTTGGTCTGCCTCAATCCTACGATGCTGTCATCCTGTGACTGGCCAATTCCAATGTCACTGTGCGAAGGGATAATGAGAAAATAAATTTCAGAATTGGAATGTTCAAAACCTTTGTTATGGGTTTGCTATTTAAAAGTTAGAGGTTCTCAAAAGCAGTAGCTATCTTACAGTTTCTCTATGGTACATTTAGCCACAGTATCCAAGTGCTATAGAACAATAAAATTAGATCTGCTTATCAGGAACCATTGAGGACTCTGCTCTTCACCCTTTCTAGTTCTGGGAAAATGGCTAGTTTTATTCCATGCTTTATTCAGGGAGCGGAAGATTTACTGAAAAGGAGGGAGCACGGAGTGCACTTTAAAAACGATCAGACTTTGGTTCAGTCTAATCTCCTCTCCTAACTCATTCCACAAAGGTCCCCTCACTCCAGAACAATACCTCTCCAGTTTTCAGGCACTTTATCGTTTGTGAATTGCATTGTCCCAGAGGAGCATGACAATGTTGGTAGACAGGGATCTGTTGTCTAATGATGAGTAATATTGATGGCTTTGAGTGTGGGAACAAAGTCTTAATGGACAATGGAAACAAATTGGAGACAATGGAGGGTGTAGAAGCCAGGGTAACACCTTCTTCCTAAGGTGCCAACCTGTTGAGTTTACTCACAGGGATGCAGCCTAGAATTTCAAATACAACATATCGAGGGGGAAAATTTTAAATTCTCAGTTGTAACTGCTATAGAAGATAGAAACAACTTGGACTCTAACAAAAGCTGCTGCGTCCCCAACACACCTTTTAAAATTAGTCCACTCATTAAAGTACCTCAATATGATTAGCCATAGGCAGACTTTTTTTAAAATCCTGGCCAGTCCATCAACCATCAAACAGAAAATCTATGGATCCCAAAGGAAGCATTTGACTCTTGTTAATTAATTACATTTCCATTTAGAGTTGCTATCGCACATTTAGTAATATCATTTTGTGCTTACAGTACCAGTGTTTTACCCAGTGCACAAAAGTCCTACTTTCTTATTGCTAATGCTATATTCTTTCTAAACCTGGAAAGCTGCTTGTTCAGTGGACAAATGAAGAAAAACCAGAGACCACAGAGTAGTGCAGTAGTCAAGAGCTGAATCACTGAGGCTACAGATCAAATTGATACTGCTTATAACTATCCTGACAATATTGTGGTTGCTATCCAACAGTGTGGTCTGCAGTTATGCTAAAAGAAAAAGAAACATTTGACTTTGTATGGACTAACCACTTTCCAAAAAAAAAAAAAAAAAAAAAACTACAAATATATCTTTTAAAATCAGATTAAGTTCATCTGTCCAAATTAATTTCAGGAAAGGAAGACTCTGAAAACTATGTTTTTAATTTTCTAAGATGTAAAGCCATTCCACTTTCTACTTTGATCCTAACAAATCTCTGAAAAAGGATCTGGCCTAATCAGTCTCACAAAGCCTAGAGTTCTCTGATAAAC